ACATTTTAAATTTATCAGCCACTTGCTCCTCATTTTCTTTTCAAATGTGTTTGTTAGGAACAAATCTGACGTCACCTGGCACAGAAAGGGTTAACGCTGTGATTTGATTTTTTTTTAGGTCCAAATCAGAACTAAACTCATTTATATAAAATGAATAACTAACTGAAAGAAGAGAACGTCTAGTCTCTAATACCATGTGCAGCACGACTACAGAATTTAAACCTGTGATCCATCTTGGGACCACGACCCGCCCTTTTGAAAACGGGACTGCAAATTGAATGTGAGGTGATTTTCAATAATAATATTAATAATAATAATAATAATGATAATAACACGTATTTAAACCTCATTGAATACTGTATTAATATAAATATAATAACAATATAAAGACTATCTTATCTTTAAAATTCATTAAAGAAATACATTGTAAAATAACCGGTACATTAACAACATAGGAGTAAAATATTGTGGTTCTAAATGTGACTTTAGTTCAATAAAAAAAACAAAAAACATCGTCCATCATGGTCTGCTGCCGATAATAAATATATATTCAACTTGACCGAGACAACGTCCGCAGCGTGTGCTAGAATAATTCGGGCGTATTGTGTTTTATTTACCTTTCATTTTACTCAAACTGCCTCTCTGTGTTTCAGCTCCTCCATTTGAACAATAGCGGCTGGAGGTTCAGCCTGGGCAGTTCCACTAACAAACTTCAAGGAGAATTTTTTCTTTGATCTGCCTAACCTCATAGAAAATTATAGCATCTTCTTTAATCTGAGCAGAGTAATGACTTTAAGTCCAGAAAAAGACAAATAAAAAGGAATACAAGGCTTTGATAAGAATTGCCAGGAACAAAAGCCAATTTTTCAAAGGATGAGAAAGCACTGGTTTCTGTTTCAGGAAGCGTTGTTTTTTCTTTTTTTTTTCTACGACTTGAAAAGGTGCAGAATCTATTTCTCCATCATCAGAGTGATAGGGGTGCATCTAAAAGGTCACATCTGAGTGCTGGTGTAACCCCCCCCACCTCCACACACACGCACACACGCTGCCTCCCGACCATGACACTTGAGCTCTTGTCTTGAGCATTTGTTGTTGTATGCCTTTGTCAGAATGAACATGATTACTTTCAAATAGAGCGTGTGATGACACTATTAGAGAAATCCTCAAAGAAAATGACTCCCGCGACAAGTCGTGTTCCGCGCACTTCTTTCCTACTCCGTTGGTTACTGGGCTTTAGGTACTGTTTCCTTTTAAGTGAATTACATTCTTAAATCCTATATATCCTATATATGTTTTCTATAATATTTCTGTAAACAAAAATAAAGAAATATATATAAAATATATAAATATATATAAATATATAGATAAACATATGTGTTTATACATATATATTTATATATTAGAAATATATTATATATATTTATATATATTTTATATATTGATATATAATATTGATATATTATACATATGTATACTGTATAGACTGTATATATGTATACTGTATATGTATATCTATATACTTTTATATAGATATACATATGCATAATATATAAATATTATATATAAATATATATATAAACATATGTGTTTATACATATATATTTATATATTAGAAATATATATATTTATATATATTGTATATATTGATATATAATATTTATATATTATACATATGTATACTGTATAGACTGTATATATGTATACTGTATATGTATATCTATATACTTATATATAGATATAGATATACATATGCATAATATATAAATATTATATATAAATATATAGAATAGAATAGTCTTTATTGTTATTTTCTTCTTAATGTTTAATATATGTATTATATATGTATATATTTACCGTCTATACAGTAACTGTCTTTACAGTAAAGAAACAGCAGTTCGTCTTTGAACATCGCAACATTAATCTTTTACTCCCACCGCCTTAATTCAAAGGTAGTATTTCCTATAATAAATGTATACAGTGGTGACCCGATAATAAAAAATATTATGACCTAAGGCAAAGTGGTGGACTATAGAGGAAATGCTCCTGAGCGTCTTCAGTGCCACGGGGGGAAAAAACCTGAGAAGGAAGTGAATTCATTCATATTTACAACCAAGATAATAAATATTGTAAAGTATAGTACGTTGAATCTGGCACTTTATATTCACACAGTATAGTACTATCTAAACAGTACTATGATGTGTACGTAACAAATGTAGATATTTGTAGGTTTTATTCCATTTTTGTGTTTTGTTTTATTGTGAGAACTACTACACAGCAACGTGTTTGAGTCAACGTCAACGTTGTCAACCATATCAGTAAATCAGCTCCGACTTAACGAAACATTTCTAACAAGCTGTCTTAACCGGCAGGCATGAAGTGCTTCGCCGCCTAATTAAAAATCCCTAATCGAATTGGTAATTCTGTTTTGCCAATAAGCACATGTTAGGGTCATTATTGACTCCCCCGCTTAATGCCAAGCTGTTCTTTAGCAAAATCCAATTTTGCTGAAGATTGAGGCAACACAATACTGCGGCCGACTATCACTTTGCACAGAAGTGTACGCCGTGTATTACATTTAATTGTCTGAGATGTGGTTTTTTTTTTCACCTTAACCTAAACGTAAACATCCAGGAGGGCCTCACCCCCAGCCATCTGAAGAAGGCCAAGCTCATGTTCTTCTACACCCGCTACCCCAGCTCCAATGTGCTGAAAGCCTTCTTCCCTGACGTCAAGGTAAAACCTTTTTTTTTTATTCTTCTCATCTGGAAATTGTCGTTTATACAATTGTAGAAGGGAATTTGAACTAATAACATTTGAGTTCTTTGTAAATTTCACATTTAGTGTGTAGAACTATTGTTATTTGAAGGATAAGGATAACATCACTTTTTTTGTATCCCTGTCAGATACATATTCTGAGGGAACATTTACAGAGATCAGAGGTCTTAAATGGGGGTCTGCGACCCCTAGGTGGTCCGTGGAGGTCCTGGAAGTGGGTCGTGAAATTTTGTGGCTAATTAGATTATTTACAGACATGAATTCAGATACTGAAGTCTAATTTCAGATGCTAAGGATTTTTTATTATTTGTATTATTTTATATTATTTTCCAAAATAAAAAAAAAAAAGTTGACTCTAGACATTATATTCTCAGAGGTCTTCAGAAGGCGGTCTACGACCCCTTGGTGGTCAGTGGAGGATTTGCATGCGGGTGAAATCTGGTTTACTTAAACCTAACTAAATATAGATATATATATAGTTATATACTTATATAATATTATATATGATATAAGTCTGAATATAAATACCATAAATGTAAACACATTTTTTACTCTCTCTCTATATATATATCAATATACACACATATGTCTATATATGTGTATACTGCATATATATGACCATATATAGATGTAATTTTTTCTTTCTTTTTTGGGGGGGTTTCTATCCTTTTGGGGGGGGGGTCTTGACCTAAAAAATGATTGAAGATCCCTGGTGTATACACAGCAACAAACACTGTCTGAATGAATGCATTTTTCATACATCATTTCAATACATTTACCACTTCCTCAGTGGTAAAACGTTCTTGCGGTGGGCTGTGAACCACGGCTTGATCAAGCCTATCTTAACAACGTTTAACTAAAGCTTGTTGACGACAGCTTCTAGTTGTCAAAAAAAATGACTAAACCGATACAAAACAAACAACCGTTAAGGTCGCGCCGCGCTGCTAAACTCCCCGGTATTTTCTTGTCCACGTGTGTTTGGAACAGAAAGCTCAGCAGTGTGTCGGAGGAGAGAGACAAAGAGGCAGAGGGCTTTAGATGACAAAGGCTGAGCTGCTAGTACGTCCTGGGGGCAGAGGCAGATACGGGGGTCATTCTCTCTTTTTTAAAAAGGCCACTCCAGTCAGCAAATGGAGTGACAAAGGACTCTGCAGGAAAAGGCATTGCTATTGAGAGTCAACACAGAGTTGGTATTAGAGACTTTCTGAGGCCACGATCACGCGGTGGCGAGCTGGTCCCTAAACACAACATCCTGTGTGTTTTGGCCTCGGTCTTGTGTCAGGGCTTTTCTTCTGTCTCTTCTTTTTGTCTCGTCTCCTTATCTGTATCCTGTCGTTAGCCCCTCCCTCCCTCATTCACTCTCTTCATCCCCTCTACCATAAATTTTTCCTCTATATCTCCTCTCCTATCTGGACTCCTGGATCACTGGGCCAGTTTGGGGGCCTCTAGCCTCATGTTCTGATCTGACCTGTGGGGTCAGAGGGGAGGATGCTGCTGCTGCAGCCCTATAAACATCTCCTCCTTGCCTAAAATCCCGTGGTGGGAAGTGGCACTAAACAAAAGAGCGGCTAATCCCAGTGTCTGATTCCATCCTATCATCCTGAGTCAATGAGAGGGAAGCTTCCTTCTGTCCTCCTGCCGCTGCCTTTTCACCCACCACAACAGAGGGAAGAAGCGTCTTTGATGCCTGCCCTGCCCTCAGGCGCTTTTCTCCTGTCTTTCTGGATGATGAGATAGAATAACAAGACTGATGTCAAGACTGACTTGGAAACACAGAGGCCCTGACATGTGTTTGTTCACCCGGGACATGGGTGTGAAAAAGAAAAATCTGAGCGATTATGTCGTCGTGGAGAATAACGGAACAGTCGACGAAAAACCAGGTTTTGGAAAAGAAAATTATCCAGAACCAATTGCAAAGAATTGGAGCAAAATGCTAATCTGCAACTGCGATGTGTGCGCGAGTACAAATACACTATAAATACCAGTATCAGTAACGGTTCATTCAAATACTTGTACTCATACTTTAACGCATGTGTTGATTGAGCTGTAAAAATACTGTACCTGCTTTTCACCACAACCAGCTTCCTAGAAGTCAGCTTATTTATGTATATATACAGTATATATATGTCACATATATATGTTTATATATTTATATATTATATTTATATATATATAAATATACAGTACATATATTTATATGTGTACATATACACATACGTATACATATATACATATATATATGTATGTACATATATACATACATATATGTATGTATGTCGTGTATATTGTTTATATATATTTATATATATTATATTTTGTTATATATATAAATTTACATATATATTTTATGTGTGTATATTTACACACACACACATATATATAAATATATACACATACACACACGTGAGGCACCATTCAATAGGTGGTTCCTGGGGCTCAAACTGAGGACCTTCTGCGTGTAAGGCAGATGCGTAAAGGATGCGCGATAACTGCTACGCTATGGAACCACCACAGTGCATACAGTTATAACACACAGTTTAAAAGACAGTTTGTTTACTGGACAGCAGGAGGCAGTGTTTTCAATTTGCTGTTGGTATCAAAGCTCTGCTCACTTTCTGTTCAGCGTTTTATCCTCGGTTCATCTGATATATTGTCAAACATGACGACGACGTCAGTGTAAATTGATTGTTTTTCTTTGGAGGATTTCTGGAATATTCTGTCATTTTCTTTCTCCAGTTCAACCGCTGCATCACCTCTCAGCTGATTAAGTGGTTCAGTAACTTCCGGGAGTTCTACTACATCCAGATGGAGAAGTTTGCGCGACAGGCCATCGTGGACGGCGTCAGTGAAGTGAAGGACATGACTGTGAGCAGGGACTCCGAGCTGTTCCGGGCCCTGAACATGCACTACAACAAGGCCAACGACTTCCATGTAAGTCTCACAGTAACAGTTCACCAATAAGAATGACTCCAGGACACCAGCAGGTGTCAGGAGCTGAACAGATTCGTTTATTGTATTTGTCCACTCTTTGGACCTGGTACTGTAGACCGGTCTTCCAGTCAGCAGTTGCTGTGGTCACGTACGTGGTTGTCTTTGTGCTGACCTGTGTGTCACACTGCACCTGTGGCTGACCAGCCTTCACAGCCATTATCTAAACTCCGCAGCGATGCTTTATCAAACTGTGGGAAGAGGAAGCCACAAAATCCTGCTTAAAACAACTCAGGATTAGAGGACCAGTACGCCTGAGCGAGGCCAGGATTGCTACTGATGCGGAATGCTGAGAAAGACGCTGTGGACTGTGGAGGGAGAAGGTCCGGATGGTGGGAAAGGGACGGGTCCGTTTTCTTTACCTTGGGCCCAAGACATTCCTTTCCCAGGGAAGCTTTTGTGTCGAGAGATGAGGGGAAAGAAAAATAACTTAAACCAACAACTGCAGCGCTCGCTGAGCAGCCGATGTGAAACGGGGGGGGGCAGGACACTTGGGTCTCTTCGCATCCCTTACGTCTCAAAGCTCAATAATGTGTAGCCATTTTAAAAAAAAGAAATTTATTTAGCATCGTTGACTTCTGGTTAGCCAGTAGAGGGAGTAGACGTGCCGCGCTAGTACTTCCGTGAGCGGTTAACTTTTTAAACCAAACAGAGCCTCACATCACTTTTCTCGTTTGATTCCCAGAGAAACCACAAAAAGGCGGAAAGCCAACCATAAAAGAAGAGGCTAGCGCAGATATGGGCAACAATGGGTCCTAAAATTTGACATGGCGGCCGGGTTAGGAGCAGATAGATGGAGCGTTCATGTGAAATGACATGAAAAGTCATGGATAAAGGCTAAAATGCTATGTGAAATGACATGTAAAAGTCATGGATAAAAGCTAAAATGCTAAAATCATTTTAGCCTTTTCTAGGCCAACATTGCAAGGAAACGGCTAAGTATAACGATAATATAAATTATTAAGATAATTTGGACAAGTTTGGCGGGTTGGATTAAAAAGCCAAATGTGCCACATCCGGCCCCCGTGCCATAGTTTGCCCTTACCTGAGCTAGCGCTAACTCAACCCTGGATGCTATTACCACCCTGCTTGAGAAACATCGTGCGGCGTTCGCCACCGGGTTTAAAACATCGTTCAGTCGACCTGCCCTGAAATTAGATCAAACGCTTTAGCATCGCCAGCTAACACACAGTAGCTGTTACACAGGCTAACACCCAGGAATCCATGATGCTAATTGACCCTGCTGGGCACAATCGCTGGTTCAACTTCAAGAAACAGGAGCGGCTAATCAAAGAGAGAGTCTAATTGAAAGTTAATGAGCGCAGACTTTTACACTGGCTGTGTTTGTGCAGAGAACAAAGAGATGAGCTCCCTTTCATCAGGTATTTAAAGAATTATACCACCGGTCGTTTTTTTTTATAAATCTCTGTCTCTGAGAAATGTGATGTACATGTTTAAACACGAACTTTACTCACTTCCACTGGTCTTCGAGGTTCCCGACCTATTCCTGGAGGTGGCGGAAATCACGCTGCACGAGTTTTTCGACGCCATTTCTGCGGCCAAGGATTCGGATCCCTCGTGGAAGAAAGCCATCTACAAAGTCATCTGTAAACTGGACAGCGACGTCCCCGAGGAGTTCAAGACTTCTTCTTACTTGTAGGCAGAGGTGTCAAAATGAAGTTTCAGAGGTCGGTCAGTGGAGAGAGTAGTGACACTAGAACTGTTTTATCCTTTGCTGTAGTGCAGTGATCAACCTGTGGTCTGCGGGCCCAATCTGGCGCGCCCAAATGTCCAATCCGGCCCGTGATGAAATTCCAAAATAAATAACAAATAAGAAAGTTAGACAGAAAAAAATATTTTATTTTCATTCGTATTTGAATGTACAGTGGCCCATAAAAGATTCTGCCACAAATATAGTTGTTGCCCTCTGATTTAGTGAATTTTGGTGAAGTGATGAATCATTATTTTGTAAATATGTAAAAAGGAAATAAATAAAAAAACAGTCAGAATTTAGGTTTGAATGTGCAACTAATTTAAACCTTTGTGGTTTTACTTTGTAGCGTAGGATTTTTTTTTTAACATATCGTGTTGAAACACGTGTTTACAACGATGCTGTCTTTTATGTCAAAGCCTTATTCACAGTAGCCCGATTTGGGAGACGTAGTTTTTTTTACATAGCGTTTTGTGAGTTGCGTACAATTTCGTCGTGGCGTCGTTTACATTTGTTACACACTTGAACAATGTGCATGTGTTGGAAAAAAAAAAGGTTTCTTTATCTTTGACTTTTACTGAATATTAAAGACGAATTACTGTAACAGCAGCAGTGTTGCTATTTATTTCTGCAAAAATCTCAGTAACGTGTAATGTAAATATTTTAAAGTTTTATAAGGAATAAAAACATTTAAAAGATCAGATTGACGCCGTGTTCTGTCTGTCATGTTGTGCTCCTCCAACGCTTGGGCCATGAACGGCGGAGCACTGAGCCCCTAAGGTGCCTCTAATCCAGGTCCAGCAGCCAGCTGTTCACTGTTCACCACACTCTGCTCTTCTCTTTGTTCAACCGAAGTCAACTTTCCGAGGCCCTCATTCACCGGGCGGCTGCTGCGGCTGCGGACAACGGCCGTGTCTTAAAAAACAGCCACCAAGCATTCCCTGATAATGACCAATGCCCGAGGTGACCTCACATCACGGTTGTGCCAGACAAGCAAAATTCCACACAGCCACTGACTCTGTCTTCCAGGCACCAAACACACGCACAAACACAGCAGCGACGTGCGGTGAGGTTCATGGCCGTCGAGGCACTGACTCCTCTGGAGTCAGATTTACAATTGTAAGAACTGAAAAGAGTGTACGATGAATAATTGAATACATTAAAGATGGTAAAGTACGATATCAAGGCATGAAATAAGTATACAGACATAAA